TGTTTATTTGTTACATTTATCTGAGCTGAAATGCTCTGTTGAATGAAATGGCTGATGCCCAATGAACATCATAGATGGGAACAGATGTTATGTTATAGTTACAGGAAAAAGAACAGAATATTAAATGAAGAGGCGTCATTTACAGATTAACAGTACATCATGTCCCAAATCAAGCACATTAAAACATTTGTTCAAAATTGTTTCTCCTTAACAAGGAATAAAATGTAGCTGTATTCAAAGAAGCATTTATGAAAAGAGTCATGCATTACATTGAAAATTGATGGAAAATTCAAATAGATTAGACATTAAACAAGATACATCAATATTGTTGTTTTAAGTATAATTAAGTTTTCTGCTAAAGTTAAATATGCCTCTCTTTTAATATTTAGTGAGTCCTGTAGGATACTGGTTACAGAACTTGCATCGCAAGCAAGAGGACCTGGGATCAGTTGCCAGGCAGGCTGAAACTTTAAGCAAGTTTCTTGCTCCACGGGCCTCTGTTTGCCTAGCAGTAAGTAGGAACCTAGTCGATAATGATTGATGGATCGCTTTCCGGGGGTAATAATCCCTTCAAAAAATAAATAAATAATTTGTCACTCAATTCACGACTGTTTGTGGGACACTGCTGTGTGCAATTGGCTGACACGTTTCGCCTACAATATATTGAAAAGCGCTATATCAAATGCAAGGATTATTATTATTATTATTATTATTATATGTTTCAGCAATGTTTCACAACAGCTATGAAGTGAATGACTATTTTTATCTGGGGGATTGTTGGCCAGAATATTGGAAGATACTCTCTTCTCTTTCTGGATAGGGTCAAGGGATCCTGAACTCCGCATGAATGGGCAGACAGACCTTGAATTAACATTTCATCCAAAAATGCATGCATTGGAACCTCATCTTAGGTTATGAGTTCCAAGTCCCAACGATTGAATTCATAACTTTCTGACTCTGAGGCTACCAACTGAATGCTAAAATAAAATAATTCAATTTCCAGTCTGGAATTCCCTTCCTCTCTCCCCCCACCCCACCCCCACTACACACTTAACTTTGGCATATTGGTTTGGCTGTCATTTTGGATTGATGCTTTGTGAGAGTCAGACAAATATACTATTTTAGTATACTATTATTTTGTACATTGAAATTTGGAATAATAATTGGGTCCGAAGATCTCCATGTTCATAATAATAATGCTCATAATAATAATAGTAATTCTTGTATTTTGCTATTACACCTTATCAAGTTGCTGAGACATCTCAAAGCGCTTCACAGGATATACTCTAAAGTGAATTGACTGTATATTTTGTGGGCAAAATGCGGCAGTCAATTGCGCAGAGCAGTGTCCCACAAACATTCATAGATTGAATGACCACATCATTATTATTTTTGAAGAGGTTATTATACCCCCGAAAGCAATCTGCCAATTGACAAAAACAACTTGGTTCCTACTTACTGCTAGGTAACAAGAGGCATGTGGTAAACAGAAACTTGCTTAAGGTTTTGCCTTGGCTGGGAAACAAACAAGAGTCCGCTTGCTTGTGAGTTGAGTGCTCTAACCAATACGCTACAGCAGGTGGAGAGATATGGAGAATTACATATTTGAGCATTTGATAATACAGCAATAACAACAGCAAATTGTATTTTTTATACACATTTCACATCAAGAGGACGTCCGAAGGCGCTAAGATAGTAAATAACAAAATAACAAGATATCAGCTTAACTTAACATCATCCAGTAAGGCAGTATACAACTTCCGAGCTTCTAAATATTTTTGACTGCAACTGCTAAGAGCTAATTTAAGATAAAGATAATTTAAGATAAAGGCAATTTTCTCCAGCTTCTTGGAAGCAAACCATTGTCCCACGGTCACAGGGGGTGTTGAGACCAAAACCGATCCGTGATTATCAACTGAAATTCCACCATTTAACAACATGTTCCTTTTTTGAAATATCACAAATTGACCCCATGATTTCCACAGGTCTTTCTGCAGGCAGGCTTTACATTGTTATTCGTATCATGTCAAGAATTGTTACAGAATGATTAACCCAGGAATCGGTAATAGTTACCATTTAGAAATGAGCTTTTCTAAGTAAAATCTGGTGCATTTGCTGAATATTAAGAGGTAAAGAGTTAGTCAACATTATTTGGGTCTGTCATTGTCAACACAAATATAATTTTTGCCATTTATATCACAACACTTTCTGGATTTGTTTATTCAAATGTTCTCATCTGTGCCCTGGCGATTAAGAATGGCAACTAGATAGAGATTTAAAAATATCAATTCATGAAATAGAATCAGATTTTTTTTTGTAGTGCTGATTGATTACTATAATTGAACAGTTTAAAGCTGCTAAATTAGCTCCAGAGCTCGTTGCTACAAAAACAGACATGAGAAAGGTATCATCACCTATCTAGTACTTTCATGTGTTGCAGTTCATGTGATCAAGCTGTAATGCTTGACTATTTTTTACATGACTGTAGGGTCATTCACTTAATTTCTGTTTGTGGGACATTACTATGTGCAAGTTGGCTGCCGTGTTGGCTTACAAAGTATTTATCATTACACTTTACAGTAAATCCTATGAAGCCCTTTGAGATGACCTCCTGACACAAAAGGAATCATATCAAAAGTAAGGATTTGCAACATGGAAAAATATATGGAAGGAATTCTCAAGCATAATACTATATAATAATAATTATTATATCTATTCCAGTGTATGTTAGTACATGTCGTGTATTGCTCTATCTACTTTGGCACACTCTAATATTTCTCACATAATTCGTCTTTCTGAGCCTGATATTTAATTCCAACATGGTTCTCAATTCTGAATGTTTTAGAGTTCTATTAACCAGATTGAAACGGTCTGAATATATTGAAAACTGGATTTGAATCCAATCAAAGTCAATGAAATGCAAGTCTTTTCATTCTGCCAGCTCTGAGGGTTCTAATGGAGTCCTGTAGCTCAGTGGTTAGAGCACTCGCTTTGCAAGTGAGAGACTTGAGCAGGGCGAAACCTTGGGCAAGTTTCCTTACTCCACACGCCTAATAATAATCCCTCCAAAACCAAAACAATAATAAATTGGTCATTTTCAATCTACGACTGTTTGTGGGACATTGCTGTGCGCAATTGGCTGCCGCGTTCGCCCACAAATATAAAGTCAATTCACTTTACAGTATATTCTGTGAAGCGCTATGGGACGTCCTCCCGACGTAAAAAGTCTATATCAAATGCAAAGATTATTATTATTATTATTATTATTAAGTTGAATTTGCACAGTATCAATACAGTAACATACTGTATTATTCAGTAATCTCACTGAGTGGGGCTACTTGTTCGGGAAATGGAATCCTGCTGTTGCAATGAGGGCAGTGGTCTTATGAGACTGGACTAAAACACAGTCCTGCAGTGAATCGTAACTCTGCATGAGTCATACTCATAAATTATTCTTGGATTTGATATCATGCCTACAGTGTTGAAAAGTTGCAAAGTGCTATGATTAGTATACCTGATATGCTGTTTATCTTAGACAGACTTTACATTTTCCAGACACAGACATCTCTCACACAAAATTGTCCTCCCCTCACACACTCACAAACAAATAAGTAATGTTCTTTTTGTTCACAATAATTACTCGACAATTGTCATCTTCTCATCTGCCAGACACTAGTGACTGAAGTGCATATAATAACAATCCTTGCATTTCAAGTAACCCCTAAACCTCAAACAATTTGCAAGAAATTGTTGTCAAGTGTAGTGACTGTGTTTGAAGGTTGATACAGAAGCCATTTTGTGCACAGCAATTTCTCACAAACAGCCATGAAGTGAACAATCAATTTATATGGAGGATTCTTGTCCCGGACATTGGGAGATACTCCCTTCTCTTTTCAATTAATTTCCTAGGATCTTCAATGTTCACCTGAGTAGGCAGATAGGACTTTGGTTTAATATCTCCTCTAAAGCATAGTACCTCAAACAATTCAGTGCTCCCCTAGATTATGAGTTTAAGTGACCACACAGAACTTTAACCAACAATCATCTGACCCAGACACAAGAATGTTCCCAACTGAGATTCCCAACTAATACCTTAATAGTGAATCCATTCAAATCACCTGAAGTACTGTACGTGGGCGTTAATTTGTAGCCTATTAAAATTACTATCAACCAGCAGGAACTTGCTCCAGAAGTAAATCTTGTCAGAGTGGTGTCCCATGTGTCAGCATGTCCTATGTACAATGACGAGAAGGAGTCCCAGTTGCTTGACTCTGAATCCTTTAAAAGGAATCCCATTAATAAATAAATCAAATTATCTGCTATTAACATCATAGATATGTGATTAGCCTCCTATAATAATAATAATAATAATAATCCTTGCATTTGATATAGCGCTTTTCACGTCGAGAGGACGTCCCAAAGCGCTTCACAGAACATACTGCAAAGTGAATTGACTGTATATTTGTGGGCGAACGCGGCAGCCAATTGCGCACAGCAATGTCCCACAAACAGTCGTAGATTGAAAATGACCAATTAATTATTGTTTTTGGTTTTTGAAGGGATTATTATTAGGCTCTGTGTGGAGTAAGGAAACTTGCCCAAGGTTTCGCCCTCTGCCTGGAATTGAACTCAGGTCTCTCACTTGCAAAGCGAGTGCTCTAACCACTGAGCTACAGGACTCCACAATAACTGTGGGAACTCATACATCTAAAATTTAGAGTTGTAACTGGACTCTTAGAGCTCACATAGCATTTTGAACGACTCAGAAAATTCTGACGATACCTTGGACAAATGCCAAAAAAAGGGAGAAAGGGGTTTTAAAAAAAAAGAAATTATCTTGTGTACATCACAAAATTGTTTTTTTTACCTAAACAATGGGAGGATTGTGAATGCAACAATTGTGTTTATGGCCATGACAAAATCCAATTGATGTAGTATGCCAAACCTTTACAACCTTGGAGACATGTCCTCTTACAAGGTACATTTCTAAATAATACCAGTGTTGTTCACTTATGTTTATTGTTCTTTCTTTTCTTGTGCAACTCCAGTAACTAAAACCAGATTGCAAGACATAAACTGCACATTCAGAAGGTTACTGGTCTGTCCTGTATATATACCCACCAGCTCACTGGAAGAGCCATCCAGGGATGAATTGGAGTAAGTATTCCGAATATCCCAAATACGAACTGAATTGTCAATAGATGCAGAAGCTACCAAACTACTATCAGGACTGAATGCCAAGCTAGTTACATTGTCAGTGTGTCCTCGTAACTCTTTAAATAAGGAGCCTGATGCAAGGTCCCATATCTTCAGTCGCTGGTCTTCACCTGCTGAAGCCAAGTATTTTCCATTGGGTGAAAAGGCCAATGAGAGTACAGGGCCACGATGTCCTGTGAAGAGACGTACAGTACTTCCTTGCTGCGTACTCCATAATCTTACAGTTTTATCTGTTGAACCTGTGGCAATGTAGTTGGAGTTGGGATGAAACTTGACACAGTCTACATCTGCTAAGTGACCTGCATAAATGCGCAGTGGGTATGTTCGGTCCAGTGCCCAAAGTCTAGCTGTCCGATCATGTGATCCACTTACAAAATAAAGGCTTAAGGGACTAATATCAATGTCCCAGACTGGATAGGCATGTCCTTGATACAAAACAGTGTTAGTGAAACTGCACAGGTTCCAGTAGCGGACTGTTGCATCTTCTGAACAAGAGAGAAGGCCTGAACTATCCGACAGAAACTTTGTGCCATACACTGGTCCACAGTGCCCTCGTAGGATCTTTATTTCACTGCCCACATCGTCATCTTCCCCCTCATTATCCAAGACATCGCAGGCTAGGTTGATTCGAGAAACATCCACCTGCCCCGGGGCTGCCTAATATCCCAATTATAAAGCACCAAAAGATTCACTGACATTTTATCTCTAGGTTGTAGTGGGTACCACTAGAGAGGCAATAAGAACATAAGAACGTAAGAATTAAGAACAGGAGTAGGCCATTCGGCCCCTCGAGCCTGCCCCGCCATTCAATAAGATCAAGGCTGATCTATTCTAACTCCACCTATCCGCCTTATCCCCATATCCCTTAATCCCTTTATCCACAAGAAATCTATCAATCTCAGTCTTGAATATGTTCAAAGACTGAGCATCTATAACCCTTTGGGGTAGAGAATTCCATAAATTCACTACCCTCTGAGTGAAGAAGTCTTTCCTCAACTCAGTGCGAAAGGGCTTACCCCTAATTTTAAGACTGTGACCACTGGTTATAGTTTCTCCAACCAGGGGAAAAAGTCTCCCACTATCTACTCTGTCGTGCCCCTTAATAATCTTATAGGTTTCTATAAGATCACCTCTAATTCTTCTATATTATAGAGAATATAGGCTTAAATTGCTCAACCTATCCTCATACCTCACAACCGTCTTCCTTGGTACCAACCTAGTGAATCTATGTTGTACTGCCTCCAAGGCGAGTACATCCTTTCTTAAATAAAGAGATCAAAACTGCACACAATACTCTAGGTGCGGTCTCACCAGGGCCCTATTCAGTTTGCAGCAAGACTTTCCTACTCTTATATTCTAACCCTTTTGTAACAAATGCCAACATACCGTTAGCCTTCCTAATTGTTTGCTGTACCTGCAAACTAACTTTTTGTGCCTGGTGTACAAGTACACCCAAGTCCCTCTGAATGCTAACACTATCTAGTTTCTCCCCTTCTAAAAAATAATCTGCTCAACTGTTTTTGCCACCTAGGTGGATGACCTCACACTTACATTATACTCTATCTGCCACCTATTTGTCCACTCACCTAGCTTATCTATATCTCGTTGCATTTTTTAAATATCATCCTCAGTGTTTACTCTCCCTCTTAGTTTTGTGTCATTCGCAAATTTGGATATATTAAGTTCGATGTCCTCATCTAGATCGTTAATGTAGATTGTAAATAGTTGAGGCACAAGTACTGACCCGTGTGGCACTCCACGAGTCACATCCCGCCAATCTGAGAAGAACCCGTTTATCCCTATTCTTTGTTTTCTTCCTGTTAGCCATTCTTCAATTCTTCAATCCATGCTAATATATTCCCCTTGATTCCATGGGCCCTAATCTTGTGAATCAACCTTTTATGTGGCACCTTATTGAATGCCTTTTGGAAATCTAAATACACTACATCCACTGATTCCCCCCTATCTAATCTACTTGACATGTTCTCAAAAAAATCTAAAAGATTTGTTAAGCATGACTTCCTTTTTGTAAAGCCATGTTGACTCTGTCTAACCATATTGTGATCCTCTAAGTATCCCACTACAACATCCTTATTTAAGGATTCTAGAATTTTCCCTACCACCGATGTCAGACTAACTGGTCTATAGTTCACCATCTTTTCTCTCCCACCCTTATTAAATAGCGGTGCGACGTTTGCGATCTTCCAAGGCCTCCACTATCTCATGAGCTACCTCTTTTAATACCCTAGGCTGCAGACCATCAGGTCCAGGGGACTTGTCACTTTTTAATGCCAACAATTTCCCTAGCACCAATTCTTTGCTAATGTAAATTTCCTTAAGTTGCTCCCTATCATTAGCCTCTTGGTTCATCTCTATTTCTGGTAAACTTCTTGTGTCTTCTAACATGAAGACAAAAGCAACGTATTTATTTAGGGACTCTGCCATATCCTTATCCCCCATTATAATTCCTCCTGTCTCTGCCTGTAATGGACCCACATTTACTTTTGCTAGCATAATAATAATAATAATCCTTGCATTTGATATAGCGCTTTTCATGTCTTCTAGACGTCACAAAGCGCTTCACAGAATGTACTGTAATGTGAATTGACTGTCTATTTGTGGCTGAAACATGGCAGCCAATTGTGCACAGCAGCATCCCACAAACAATCGTGGATTGAGTGACCAAATTATTATTGTTTTTTTTCTTGAGGGATTATTATCAGGCATGTGGAGTACGGAAACTTGCTCAAGGTTTCGCCTGCTGAGAATCGAACCCAGGTCTCTTTCTTGCACAGCAAGTGCTCTAATCACTGAGCTACAGGACTCCAATGGCCAATCTAGTTTAATATAAAGGTTAGTATATGGGTCCTTATATATACTATATATATATACCACTACAGTACAACACTTTGCATTTATCCAAAAACACTGCACATCATATTAGTAACAAAATTTTACAGAGCGACTCCTACACACTGCTGTTCCTGCTTGGCTAGGTTTCCAGGCAGTTTCTTTTACACATGCCTCTGTCCCTTGCATTCAAATGTCCAACAAATCAAGAGGTTCTGCTGAAGAAATCCTTTTGGCCCAAATGATCTCGACTTTCCAAAATGCAAACCTTACCTTCATCTCACGACAGCATTTCAAATTATCAAATCATTTCTTAAATGAATTCAGTATCCTGGATTCTACTATGATTCCTGGTAACCCATGACAGCTGACAATTACCCTCCGTATAAAGAAATACTCCCTGGTTTAGGTCCTAACATTGCCCTTCACAGCTCTGGTCCTCTGCCCTTTTGCCACGTCTGGAAATGTTGTGGTTTGCATTTTCCAACCTGTCGAGCAACTGAGATTTGAAATGCGCTCAATGGCCCATAGGAAAGCTCCCAATTGTAAACCTTCTTGCCCTGGAACATATTTCCCAATAACAGTGAAGGTCAATTTAGTTACAAACCTTGCCTTTTTATAGTTGATCAGAAAGAATGGGGTGATGTTCTACCTTGGTTTGGATTTATTCTATTAACATAATGCTTTAGAGCTTTTGGTCCTTGGCAAATTGTTATATTCACTTTTAACTTTGAAATCAGTTTTCTGTTTTTTCTTAAAAGACTCTTGAGAAGAGGAGACATTTTTTTTACCCAGAGAGTCGTCACGATCTGGAATGAATTGCCTGAATGGGTGGTGGAAGCAAATTTGATAGTAGAGTTCAAAAGGGAATTGGATAGGTGCCTGAAAAAGAAAAAAAATTGCAGGGCTATGGGATAAGAGTGGGGGAGTGGGACTAGTTGAATAAATCTTTCAAAGAGCTGGCATAGGCATGATGGGACGAATGGCCTCCTTCTGTGCTGTAAGATTCTATGAAACACGCAGAGAAAATTAAGGCTAATTTTTAAAGATTGTGTGAAATTCTGAACACTCTAAAATGCTATCTTAATGGAGTAAATGTAGACCCAAGTGGAAGGTATGCCTTTGTTTTATCTAAACTACAAAAAAAATGAATTTCGGATATTGTATTGAAATGTTCCTGGAGTCCTTTGGGGTAATCTACAAAGCAAACCTGTGAAATTAATTATTCTTTCTTCAACTGTAAACGTATAGATCTGGAGCAAGAGTATGAGAAAATATGCTATCAGGATATGGTCTTTAAACCGTTCATTACGCTGGTGAAATATAATTAAAAGTAAGGAGGAGGGAATTTTTCAATGACTCCTGACATTTAATGAAAATAAAAAGAACAAGCCTTCAATGCTAGGTTTATTGAATTTTACAAACCCATGTCTCCATACAAGCGCAGCATGTTATTTGTCAAGGATAACCCCACACTGTCCTTCACATTTAAGCTATAACAAAGAAAAACAACACAAAAATTTGCCTCAGACTGCATGACGCACCTGAGCTTTCAGATATCCAACAGTGCTTTTTAACTGTGTGAGGACTGGTGTTCCCTTGCAGGTTCCTGTCGATATATCAAGGCTGTGTCAGTTAGTATAACTTTGTATACCTGCTGAAGAGTTCCCTCAATGTTAAAAGGCTTGTATTTGGCTATTGTTCATGCCAGCGCTTGAGAGATCTGAAAGACCACACTCGCTGCAGGCTGCAGAAAGCGAGATGAATGTGCAATGGCAAACATTAAAACCGTTAGATGAATTATTGATTTATTAGCTATATAAAATATAGCTAATAAGTAATCTTTGGTTGATTTCCAAGGCCAACCACCACCTCCCAACTCAATATAAACTTTAATGTGGAGTTTGCCATTCAACATTCAGCGATGCTGAGACTCTACGGTTGCCAGGTAACAGAATATGTAATTCCTTCAATGCAGGGCTGAGGGGTCTATTTTTGGAGAATGTAGCTTTTTACAGACAGCTCAGTGGTTTCAGACCTGTGATTCCCATTGCTAATTGTCATTCCTGATTCATTCTGACAGAACTATTTTGTTCTTTACCACTGCTGTACTTCATATTGTACAGACGAATATACTGTATGCAATCAATACGTTGGGCTTCTCACTTGTTCATTTTTAGTGCCTGCTTATTTTTTAAGAAACCTTGTTTTCTCCCACTCAATGCTGGACTGAGAGGATAGAGAGTTGATCTGTCTGCAGACCTCAGCCAACACTGCTCTGGAAGGCAGGTAGTTGTGCAAAAGCAGATGGGATGACTCACTCTGATGCTCTTCAACTCTCTATTGGGAAGTACCCTTGCTCTGCATGGCGTCTCTGCCTGGTATCATGGCTGACATCAGAATTGAGACTGAAGGTGAGTGATAACCACTGACCTACACCTACCACTGTGACAGAACAACTTGGGCACTATCTCACATCATAAACGTTTTTAAAAAAAACAATAATAATGATAATTTGGTAGAGTGGCTTTCATATCAACAAGTCAGTTTGAAGCACTTCCAAGATTTACTAAAAAGTGTAGTGACTGTATATTTTGTAGATGATCCACGTTTCAACCTTATGTCATTTTTGAAGCTAATAATACTAGGACAGGGCTGAGATGGACAGTGAGTTAAACGCTAGATAGTTACCAATGGGAACTAAATTTGAATCCAAAGTGGATCAATGTGATCAAAACCTAATGTCGGATTAGAACTTACAATTCCCTGTCTCGGAAATGAGAGTGCCACTAACTGAGTCAGGCTAA